GGCCCTGCTTCCACTGCCCACCTGCCCTGATCTCCGCTGGACAGCCCCGCTGCCCCCAACCCTGCTTCCCGGTGGCCAGTTTCCCCCCCACACACGCACACCTCCCCCCAGCCCGCTCCGCCCCCCTCCCGCCAGCCACACTGAGGCCTGGGAAATGCTGCTGTATATGAACCAACAGTGTATCATTGTTAACAAGAATTCTAAAGGCATATTGGGCTGCACTAATAGGATCACTGCCAGCAGATTGAGGGAAGTGATTATTCCCCTCTATTTGGCATTGGTGAGGCCACATCTGTAGTATTGTGTCCAGTTTTGGGCCCCTCACTACAAAAAGGATATGGACAAATTGGAGACAGTCGAGCAGAAGGCAACAAAAATGATTAGGGGGCTGGAATACATTACTTATGAGGATAGGCTCAGGGAACTGGGCTTATTTAGTCTTCCGAAAAGAATCATAGAATCATAGAATACTAGAACTGGAAGGAACCTTGAGAGTGGGAGTAAGAAGTCCTCCATCTTGAAATTATCTTGAAATAATGGCTTACTGTGTAGACACGCTCTCAGTTATTCCAAAATAATGCTGCTGTGTAGATGTACCCTGGGAGGGTAGTGGAGCACTAGAATGGGTTACCTGGGGAGGTGGTGGAATCTCCATCCTTGGAAGTTTTTAAGATCTGTTTTGACAAATCCCTGTCTGGCATGATTTGGTTGGGGTTGGTCCTGTTTTGAAGGGGGGTGGAGGGGAATTGGACTAGATGATCTTAGGAGGTCTCTTGCAACCCTAGTCAGCTATGATCTTCTATAAGTCTATGTCTTTCATCCCTGAGCATGGAGGATGAAAACAGGTCATTGTTGTGCCAGTTAAAACAGTGTCTATCGGGTACCACGAAACGAAAGGGGATTCTGACAGCTGAGTGCTGTACTGCTAGTGACCTTGCTCATGTGCTATGTTGCTGATTCAGTTTGAAGCTGATGTTAATATTCAAATTAAAAGAATAAGCATAACAGACTTGAGCAGTCCAGGTCATTTTTAATTCATAGCACATAGCAGGTGATTTTGGTCTCCAGGATCATTTCTTTATTTTTACATATTGCAGGAAACTATTTCAGTTTATCTGCAGCACAGGCAAATAGATTCCATTGGTTCTGGCAAAAAAAAAGAATATTAAGTACCTTCAGGCTGATTGTCTCTCAAATCAGACTCCTTCATCTCTCTTCTCCTGAGAGCTGTGTTTAGAAAGCCTGGATAGTTAATGAATGATTATGTTCTGATATGCATAATCACAGTTACCTCAGCAATAATAGAAGGAGTGCCAGAAATATGCCATCTGCTCTGATCTAGGATGCTGAGGCCTAGAACTCACTGAACTGTGGCATAAAGAATAACAAAGAATATTCAAATGGAATGAGTGTGGGAGAGCACACGGTTATAAGCAGCTCAAAAAGATGTGGAAAAAGGAAGAGAAGGGTTGAAGTGGGATTTCAGGACAGATAAATGAAAGAGAACAGAAGGCCAACCAGAATGACTGAGAAGAGATAGAAGAAATGGAAGCCCATGGTAAATGTATGGGCCAAATTCTGCAAAACTTTAATGAAGACCAGTAGCATCACGAGTGTGAGTCAGCAGAGAGATGATCTCCATTTAGGATTCAAGAACTGCAAAGAGGCCTTGGATCATGTGGAATAAAACAAATAATATTCATGCTGAGCTCTTGTAGGGCACTTTTAATCCCTCAAGACAGCGAACAAAAGAGAGTAGATCTCTCCACGTTGGGAAACTGAGACACAGAAAGGGAACGTTTCTTGTTCCAGGTTATGTAACAAATCAGTGGCAGAGCCAGGAATCTGTCCAGGTCTTGTGGCCCCAAGGAAAGTTCCCTATGTGCTGGACTATGAAAAGGAATAAGAATAAGAAAGAACTCCAAGAAATATGGGATTAAAGGCAACAGTAAATTCTAGAGTCCAATATAAGAACAAGGACAGATCAAAGGTCCCAATTCACTGTCGTCCTGCAGCTTGTATAGTCACAACTCTGATCTGATAGCATTTTATGCCTGCTTTGTACTACTATAGGTGACTTTTTCAGGACATTGGAGAATCTGGCCTGAAGAGAACATTAAATGAAACAGTGAAATGGAGACGAGTTATTTAAAGCGAGAGACAGGTTCACATTTTCCTCCTCACTGATTAATGTTTCCTCCACAATCTAATACTTAAAATACTTCAAATAGTCCAAAATAGAATTTTTCATATTGACTCCAGTTAGTTCAAACTTGCTAGTTTTCTGAGTTACTCAATGTACTGTGGGAGATCCATGTATCTATCAATGGCTTTGCAGTGTAAATATTCAGAGCACTTTTGTCTCCCAGGATTAAATCCAACGGGTCTGATTCCAACCTCAGTAAATCAGTATGAATTTAGAGTAACTCTGTTGGCTTCATTTATGTAAATGGAGTTCTCCAGATTTATGCTGGAGTAACTGAGATCAGAATCCAGCTTCATGGCTTGCAATTTAATGTAAGAGTCAATTGTACATGATTTCTGTGTGTACAATTCCTAATTATGTTCTGTAAATATTGACATTTCCAATCTCGGTTTGAGCTTGTTAAATTCTAAAATGAATTGTAGACTTTTCCAGTAGGAAGCCTTGCTCTTTATTCACAGACCATGGTTTGTTTTTTGTTTTCTTCTACTTAACTTAGTTGTCCCTTATGAGATCACCATTTACACCAGTGACGTCTTTGGAGCTGGCACTGATGCAGATGTTTTCGTTGTTCTCTATGGAAGTAATGGAGTTTGCAGTCAACAGAAGTCCCTGTGTCAGAACAAGAGAGAACAAAGGATGTGCTTTGAGAGGAACTCGGTGGATCAGTTCATTGTGGAGGTAAAATAAAAAATATTTGCTCTTTTGCCGGTGCAATGGCTGAGTGGGGGGTTTAGAGACACAAAGTGGAGAGAAAAACAGTGGGGATATGGAAAAAAATGAAAAAAGACTTTTCATGAGAGCAGGGTCAGAGTTTTTGGATGACTAATTCTGGACAAAAGATTCATTTTTTGGTGACCAGAAACTATTTGTGAACTAGCCAGAGGAGGAAGAGATGGTGGTGCTGCTTGACACTTGTAAGCTTTATCCCTGTGATCAACGCACCCATGTGGAGAGCTGTGCTTGAATCTCTCTTCTGGGTTCAAATCCCTCTTCCAGAATAGAACTGAAGCAGACTTTCTGCATTCACCAGAATGTCTCAACATTTTAGATGGAATTCAGCCTGAATAGACTTTTTGTTTTTTTGTTTTCTGGAATGTCCCCTGAACCAAAAAATCAGTTACTTGCCTAATTCTGCTCCTTGGCACTGTCTTCACAGGAGACTTGTGCTGATCCTGTAGAGGGAAGGAAGGATGGTCTAGCGGTTAAGAAATTTAGCCTAGTCCTGGTTTCGGCTTCCAGTTGTACTACAAGCTTCCTCTGTGATCCCAGGCAAATCACCATGTGTCTTTGCACTTCAGACCCCCTTGTATGAAATGAGGATTATAGCCCTATCTCACAGCATGTTACAAGGATAAATGCATTTCAATCATTGTAAGGTGCACAGATACAGTCATAGGAGCAACATAAGATAGATAAGTAGCAACACCTGCCATTGCAGAACATTTAATCAATTATAATTTCTCTTCTCACTCTCTCTCTCTCTCTGGCGCACACACACATATTCTCACTTACTCGCTCTCTCGGTCCCTCCAATATTGTAAAAGAAAACACTAAGCACTAGATTGTCAAAGGTAATGAGTGAAATTGCATGTACAAATGGGGGGATCTGTAAGCACCATTGTATGGGCACACTTTCAGAAGGCACTTTTGGAAAGTTTGTCCATAATACCTAATGCTTGTGTAGGAATATAGCTGAGATGTGAATACTACCCATTTGTGGTATTATGGGCTTATTGTCATAGTCTCTGTGTTTCCTCCATGGATAGAGGACCTGTTACCGTGCTCAGGAGCTATGATTTCCAAATATGTGTGACTAAGTATTCAAAGAGCCTTAACATGTTTCTGATGAATTTGCAATCATATACCTTAGTGCAGGGGTGGGCAAGAGAGCCTCCACGGGCTGAATCCGGCCCACCAAGCTGGTTGGTCTGGCCTGCGGCCACCCTGCCACTCCCCCAGCCCCAGGCCAATGAGACCTGGGGATGGGGAAGCACACAAAGTCTCCTCCCTCCGCCAGAGTTGGGTGGCACCAGAGGGAACCACCTGGTAGTTCACTCTAGGCATTGCACACCCCTTGCAGCGTGGGGGCAAAGGGCAAGAGACTTCACGCACTCCCTCTGCCCCCAGGCCTTGATTGACCTGAGGGTAGAGGGAGTGAGCAAAATCTCCTTCTGCCGCCAGGGGTGCACGGTGCTTAGAGGGAACCGTCAGCTGTTCAGAACAACTGAGGATTCTCTCTAGGCACCGGAGAGGCTGCTAGGGGGCACTTCCCCACCCCCAAACCAATCAGGATCTGTGGATGAGGGAGCACGGGAAATGTCCTAGCCCCACCCCTTCCACCCAAGGCTCTGCCCCTTCTGGGGTGGCCTAAGGCCACTTCTGAACTTTGTGAAGTGACCCCCCCTTCTAAAATTATTGCCCACCCCAGCCTTAGTGCATACAAAAGATACATATATGTGCATACATTGACCAGTTTTATGGCTAACTTTGCACATGCAATGCTGGATTCATAGCAAAATCTTACTTGAAGCCAATATATACACAAAATTATTAATTGGGAAATATTGAAAGTTAAGGAGGTGTTTTAAAAATCTGACCCTTATTTCTATTCAATATTTTCATTCACGGGGTATGACAGACACTGAGTTCCAGAGACACATAAAACCTTCCTGTGGGGTTTTTTTTTTTTTTTTTGGTGTTATTTTTTACATAATAAAGATCAAAATTTAGAATGAACATTTTAAAACAAATTAAAATGTTTTCATCTCAAGGTTACAATTCACAATAAATCCTTCTCTTTACAGCTTACATCAAACAAAACTTGTGTGTAACTTACCTGGAGTTGTCCATGATAGAATTTGCCATTAATCAGTCCATGTGTATAAATCTTGAAATGTCCATTATTTTATTGTTGTAATCCTTATGATTTATTTTCCATTTAGAAGAAGCCGGGACATGAAAATGTGTAGATGAAGCACATGAAAATGCAATTTGTTCTATGAATGTAGAGAAAGATATATTAAGTGGTCCCCCAAAATTATGTTTTCTTCACTAAACAACAAAAAGCGAGCAAAATATATTCTTCTTTCATCTGCTTGCAAGGAGCCATAATTTGAAGCTCAGTAGAGCTTGAAAACAATGTTGGGATTTTAGAAAATATAGAGCTGAGAATTGCTTTTTTGTTTTAGTAGTTTTTATTGCCCGTTCTGTTTGGTATTCGGCAGAAGAGGCAATAGGAGCATTAAAAAACCCCTATCAGCCACAGTTCTGAGTGGTGATTTTCTGGAGGTGCCTAAAGCGGTGCAATAAAAACATCTTTTTTTAATACCCATCTTTACAGTCACATGTCACCTCACTGCTGCTTATAGATTGAATGCCTCACTGAAGGATGGCCATTCAGGCTGAACAGAGAAAGAATAACATCATTTCACCTATATTAATGTTTTTGGATGAATTCAGAGAATTTTAATTTGTATGCTAGTAAGCAACTGATAGCGCTTTCTATAATCAAATCAGGTTTAGGGAATGCAGACCTCATGCAGGCTTCTCTCACCGCCCTAAACTGCAGCAACCAGTTGATTCTAATTCTCAGTCTCTCCTAAAATTAGACTAACTGTGCTTCAGTACACAACAGTCTTGTCATGCTGGGAACAAGCAGTGGGGGAACTCCCCAGGGCCTGAACTGATACCAGCAATTAACAAACTTTTAACATTTGCAAGATCAAAAAATATTTGGCATATAAATCACTTAGGGTGCATCTACACGGCACCATTATTTTGAGATAACTAGTGTTATTTCAAAATAACAATGTGAGGGTCTACATAGCCGTTCCATTATTTCGAAATAATAATACGTGCGTCTACACAGCCATTCCGTTATTTCGAAATAATAATACGTGCATCTACACAGCCATTCCGTTATTTCGAAATAATTTTGAAATAATGGACAGCTTATTCCGAAATCTGTAAACCTCATTCTTTGAGGAATAAGGCCTATTCCAAAATAGTTATTTCGAAATAAGGCGTGGGTAGATGCCCCACTGCTGCTATTTCGAAATAGCCCCTCACCAGGGCCATACTAAATCATTTCTCCCCAGTGCCTCCTGGGGCTCTAAATCGAGATAGCACGTCTACATTAGGGAAATCTGCCTCAGACTAATTTTGAGGCTTCCCTGTACTATAGATGTGCTATTTCAAAATAAGCTATTTTGGAATAACTATTCCAGAATAGCTGATTTCAAAATAAGTGTGCAGTGTAGACATACCCTTAGGGAAAAAGCTAGTGAAACAGGCCTCCCCCATGTGAAAAGGAGGCGTTCAGTCAGAGCTGATCTACACTCAAGCATGCGTCAAAATAATAAAAGGAGTGAATCCAAACCAATTAAATTATTTTGGTGCAACTATGTTTACAGCCTTATTTTCAGAATGTAAGTGGCTAAAGGGGTACCCAGAAAATTAGTGTCTCTTTAAAATATTGGTCTGTGTGATGTACTGAAAGTGGCAAATGTATTCTGTGGCTAAGCAAGAAAGAGAGAGCAGATTTCTGGGCTCTGAATCTTGTCCTTTAATCTCAAGGCCCTCCATCTCCTCTTGTAATCGTGTACCAATAATATAATGCACAACCCTGTGGATACACTTATTTCAGAATAAATTAGAGTGGAGTCCCTCATTCCTCATGCATATGAATGCTACAGTGAGACTAATATTTGCCCCTTTAGGAACTTAATAAGAAAATGGGTAATGAATCAGGGACTCATGGCTTTTGCTCTGGAATTGAGGCTGCCACCTATTGCTCAGAATCTTTTCTTTGTTTCTGTAGCTGGAGGATGTTGGAGACACTATTGAGAAGATTCGTATTGGGCACAAAGGCGGAGGGCTTAACTCTGGATGGCATTTAGATCGGGTGGAGATACGGAGGCTTTTGCCAAATGGGAAGGTAAGCATCAAATTGTTGGACTTGGTGGAATGCTTCCACTGGCAGCTGTTTCCGCTTCCCAATGCTGCACTTCAGTAATACCAAGAACGATTAAGAGTGAAAAATGACTCCCTGGAGAACTATGCTAGCTAATGAAGTTGCAAGAGCTTGGGGAACCCTGGGGAAAACATTTATTATGGTGGTTAATTCTTCAAATGTTGATTCTACAACTCCGCTAAAAATAAAAGCTTAACCCTTTCCCCTTCCCCATTCTCAATGCACTTGTTGACTAGAATACAGGTATCCGGGCTCACTTTAGACTAGAGCGTAATATGCAAGATCACAGAGATTGTGGGATGATCTGAGATGTGGTTCTGCCACTGGCTGTACCGGAGGTGCCTGTAGTAAATTTGAGCAGCCTTTGGGAGTTCCTAATTTATGCCAGGAAGATGAACCAGCCCTCACAAGCCTGGAATCCTCACCCAGTTTTCAACGAGCCTCATGACCTCTGGGCAGCTGCTTCTCTGCTGCACCTCTTGTGAGGCACAGGGCAGATACTTTCCCACGATATATAATACTCCATTTCTGACTGGGGAACCTTTCAGGTTTGTTCCAGATACCATTATATTCCTGAGCCAGAAAGGAAGCTCTTTATAATCAGGCCTAAATCCGCAAAAGGATGTAGAAACATAACTGCACTTTCAGCACCCACGTCCAAATTTCAGACCCTCAGATTTCCCCATTCAGTAGCCACCCAAGTAACCTAGGTGCCTACGTTTCCACAAATATAGTCCCTTGGGTACTAAAACTGCCAGTGGGAATGAGCACAGCTGCCTCGGTCCCTTTAAGGAACAAGTGTGAGAATGACTCATAGCATGGGCTTAGGTCTGGAACTAATCAAAGTCCCACAATACTAACCTAGGAATGGGTGACCAATTCTTTCCTCTCCGGGTGGCACTTAAGCGGCCAGTTCTTTATCCTAATGCAGATCTCCATGTAGGATAGCAACTCAACCCAAGCCAGCTCATCCTTTACAGCATCATTAAATCTCCAACAAAACTGAGACTTGAGACACCTATTCAAGGCCATATCAGCAGCCAGGTACCAGGAGTGGGCTGCCAGGTGCCAGAAGTGGGAAAGAGGTCATGAACCCTGGTGAGGAACTGTAGGGCTGCTTCAGTATGAGCTTGTTAGGGGGGCGCTGAATGCTAACCAGAAGAAATGAATTAATTCCTCAAATGAAGCAGGTAATTAAGGAATTCATCTGCAAACAACTGGAAGATAAGATAATAGGTAATAGCCAGCATGGATTTGTAAAGACCATTTGTGCAACGCACAGGGATGGCCCGAGCCATTTGTGCGCCCTGGGCCATTTGTGCAACGCATGCACGACCCCGTCCCCAGGCGCACGACACCTCCCCACCTTTGGGCACCTGGCGCATGCGTGGCCCTGCCCTCGGGCACGCGGCACATGCGTGGCCCCGCCCCTGGGCACACAGCGCATGTGTGGCCCCGTCCCCGGGTGCATGGAGCATGCGCGGTGCCGCCCCTGCCCAGCCTGACAGCCCCACGCAGCACCCCCTACAATAGGGCGCCCCGGGCGGTAGCCCGGTCAGCCCATACCTTGGGCCGGCTTTGCATCAAACCAATCCGATAGCTTTCTTTGATAGAATAACAAGTATTGTGGATAAGGGAGAAGGGGTGGACATGGTATACCTAGACTTTAGTAAGGCATTTGTTATGGTCTTGCATGACTTTCTTATCAATAAACTAGGCAAATATAATTTAGATGGAGCTACTATTAGGTGAGTGCATAACTGGCTGGATAACCATTCTCAGAGAGTAGTTATTAGATAGCTTTCTTTGATAGAATAACAAGTATTGTGGATAAGGGAGAAGGGGTGGACATGGTATACCTAGACTTTAGTAAGGCATTTGTTATGGTCTTGCATGACTTTCTTATCAATAAACTAGGCAAATATAATTTAGATGGAGCTACTATTAGGTGAGTGCATAACTGGCTGGATAACCATTCTCAGAGAGTAGTTATTAATAGTTCACAATCCTGCTCGAAGGACATAACAAGTGGTGTGCTGCAGGGAGCGATGGATATAGGGCAGGGCGAGCGGGGAGGCTGCCCCGGGCCCCGCTCTTCAATAGGCCCCGCACATGCACTAATTCCTGTCGGTTGTGGCCATGGTGCAGGCACTGCCACGAGCCCCCGCAGGGGTCTGTTTTGGGACCGATTCTGTTCAATATCTTTGTCAACGATTTAGATATTGGCATAGAGGGTACGCTTATTAAGTTTGCAGATGATACCAAGAAGGTAGGAGTTGCAACTGCTTTGGAGGATAGGGTCATAATTCAAAATGATCTGGACAAGCTGGAGAAGTGGTAAATAGGATGAAGTTAAAAGGACAAATGCAAAGTACTCCACTTAACAAGGAACAATCAGTCTCACACATTCAGAATGGGAAGTGACTGTCTAGGAAGGAGAAGCAGCCATAGTGGACCACATGCTAAATATGAGTCAACAGCAGGGCCAGCTTTAGGAAGTGTGGGGCCCAATTCAAACAGTTTTGGCAGGCTCCCCCCGCAGGATTTTTTGTTAAACAAAAAAAAAAAAAAAAAGCACCCACACAACAAACCACAACCACACACAAATATCACATCAGAAGTAGATCTGATCAAAATGTATATCAATATAGTTGAACATTTTTCAAAAAAAATGCCATCCTTTATGATGCAAAATTTTACACAAAATTAAATCAGTTGCCTTAAGTGAAGGTCAAATATTTTCAATTGCAATCTTTTCAATAAAGTTTAAAGTTTGATTTTTAAAAAGTTACCAGAGAGCGTTTCAGTTTTCTGTAGCATTGATTTACTTTTTAAATAGCAAAAATGGAGTCTTTGTTAAGAAAGTGTCAATTCTGTGGTCAAATTCCAGTCCTTAGTAATTTCAGCACCAATGATTTCACTAGGTAATATGGTACCTCACCACCATTGCCTCCTTTGCACTGCCCTTCAACACA